ACCAAGGCTCAAATGAAGCGAATCTACTTCAGCAAAACTTTCCTTAAGACTTAAATCTATTTTGATGTTGTTCTTCTAGTACGACGTAAATCCTCACACTATCTTTAGGCTTTTGCACAATTATGTTTTGCAACATGTCCTAACTCTTTTTAGGATTCCAAGGTTATCTGTCCGATATGACGTAAATCCATTTATCTTCATAGGCTATTTGGACTTCACATATTGTGCCAGTGTAATCCCTAAATTTTAAATAAAATGGTTAGAGCAAACATTAAATAAATTCACTTCCAAGATGTAAAACCAAACAATTGGATAGTCTGGGAAGTCACCAAAGCTTGCCTCAAAATTTGTGAATTCTTCTACCTTTCCCTCCCTTGGCCTAAAAAATAACTGTTCCCACTTGGTGCATTCCTAATTGACTTTCCTACAAGCAATCGTGAAAAGTCAACTGTGAATTCCTGAAGTCGAAACCCTTGATTATTATCAAGATTTTTCTTAAGTAATTTCAATCATTTAAGATATAATTAACTATAAAAACTTACCCTTATAGAGATTAAGAAACCCAGGTAATATAACTCCTATCTAATCTTTATATTAGGTAAGGGGATTGTCGGTCACACTGAAGGCTCGTAGACCAAACGAATGTCACAAATTCTTTAGTGATATAATCAAGCTCACCGCCAAGTAGTGCCTATCTCTCGGGATGGTATATTACTTGTGGTATCGTGCTCGATTACTTAAACTATCAAATATATGAGATCTATTAGGTCTCACTTTTTTAAGATTAAAATACTATTTTCAAAAAATAAAAATTATATATATATATATATATATAAGGAACCTCATGCGGAACTTTGTAATCCTTGTTTTGGATTAATAAAAGTCCCCTTGGTTTTTTATTTTTCTTAAAAAAACCAATTTGAGCACTAAAAAAAAATCTTATATTGACACCAAGTTTGAAGGTAGCTAATTTGAAGGGTTGTTTATTAAGCTTTCAACCAAACCAAACTAGAACTATTATTTCGGAAGACGAGCATGTTCAATGAGGACTATTTCGACGATTATATGTAGTCTTGCTATTTTTGGAGATTTTCTTACTCGTCATGTCTATATCATTATAAACATAAAGGTCTTTTTAGATATTGATTATTGCACTTTTGTTGAATTTTTAGGAACTCATTGGTAATTATTTATAAATGAGCCTAATTGTTGTTAGATATGAATATTCACTAAGCAGGCACATCATTCCCGCTCATCATAGTCCACTTTCTTAAGCTTGAGAAGAGAAAGTAGGCACATCATACCAAGATACTAATCAATACAGAAACATGATATATATATAACGACAAAGACAAATTCTAACTATATTTCATACCCACATACAACGACATCATGCACACATATTGACTCCACACACTGACACATAGCAATACAATGTAAACTAAGCATATGCAAGATAGATAAAGCCTGCAACAACGATTCTGATCAAAACCTTCAAATGAAATGCGATAGCATCAAGTTTCTTCCTATGCATCTCTTTATGAGCGCGGAGTTGATACCAAATATCATCCATTGTAGGTTCAACTACAACTATCCATTTGAAGAATTTACAATCATTCTTTGAACGATTTCGAGGGCATCAATAAAATTTTTGTCTGTTGTTTTCATCTGTATGAGCAGTATATTTAACACACAACAAATTTCACATATAATATACACCACTGTTTCGAATGACACCTTTAGCTGTTGATGCTTGTATTGAACTCATCTTTGCTTCACACCTAAAATACAAACATTAATCATTAGCTTATGATGGTGCACTATTAATGAACAAAAATCACACTAAACCCAAAAGAAAGGGGTTAACCATACAATTCACTAGATAATCACAAAAGTTTTAATTGAGAAATACACACTACTCTAAATTATGGTTCATTTAATAAACAAATGTATAAAAATGTACCACCACCATCTTCATGCATCATTCATGAAAGATTACAAAATCATCTTAAAATCTCTAATTCTTCTGATTTTTGCAACCAAAGAACAACCAGGAAAAATAAGCAACATAAAATAAACCACGCTATTTTCACTTACCTTGCAACATAAAACCTACCCATAAAACTATAAAATCGACATAAAGCTTAGCCCTCGTGTTGTTTTGAGTTTTCATGCCAACCAAAAACCATAAGAGAAAAGTTTAGTAAAATTCTTTATCCATTTATTGTCTTGGCCGGTGATTGGCTGCATTATAGATTTACGTTAAACAAGATTTAGTAAATTTGAATTTATCAAAACTATTTTGACGGAGAAAAACTTTTCCCATATTTGAATTTGAATTAATCCAAACCTTGTGTTAATTAATAAATATTATTTTATTTTATTTCTTTCTAGTTCGTTATTTAATTACCAAAAAGATAAATTAATTTTCATTCCCAAACTCAGTGTTCTCTGCTTTCCCTTCCACTATTTCGCAGCTTTTGTCACAAAAAAAATATTATAACAGGATTCCTGATGTGTCATGATGTAATCGTCTGCCACGTGTACAGTCCGGAAGACCCTTTTAATAAATAAATAATTTAATACAAGATGGACCCAAATTGTACACGTTGCAGATAGTGATTAGAGTCTTGATACATTTTTGCATCATGACTACTGATGCAATATGTTTTAGCACAACCCTTAAATCCAGAACGTGAATGATTTTTCCGACGAGAAAATGATGGTTTTCTGACTCATAGTTGGTTTCCCGTTCAAATGGCAGGGTGGATACAAGAGACTGAATGACAGGAGGGGTTTTCTGCTACTTATAGGACACAAACATTAACAATCGACGGCATATGAAAATAGGAGAAGTGGATGCCTACGAAACACCTACGAAGGGAAACATGCACGAGCGGTGTGAGGTGGGAGGGGCGGAAATGAGGGATTTGAGGGTTTGGGTAGTCAAGTTATAATACAAAAAGTTTTAAGAATTTGTCAATTAAAAATTCAAAAAAAAAGTATAAATAAAAAATAAAATATAAAATGTAAAAATGATCTCAAACAGACTCTTAGACTACTAGAATAACATCTTTGTAATATTCTTTGATCGTTATTATATTTTTCACATATTTAATGAATAATTAAATCGTAATAAAAATTACATTATAAGCTATAATAAATGAGAAGTTGAAGATTATGCGGAGCCAATAAAAATAAAAATAAAAATAAAAACCTATTTTTTTCCAATAAAAATACAATTAATCCATTCCACATATATAAAATGAGGCAATAACTACTAATTATATCACAATGTGAACCCTTTATTAAGCAAAACTTATTTATAATTAAAAAAAATGATTTTGATGATATTTCATAAATAAAAATATTTTGTGGTATGTATGTAAATGTCCCATTTATTTTTTATACAATATATGTGTGGGACATTTTTATACTCGTTAATACCTCGTGTTCGGCTCGTTTATATTTCGAGCTCAAAAAGTGTGTTTGTGTTCAGCTCGTTTGCTTAACTTGCCGAACACGAGCTGTTCACGAACAAAGAGTCCTTTGAACAACCCTAATCATGTCGCCATAAGACAATAAGGGTTTGAGCAAGA